TCCCCCTTAGACACGTAAGTTATTGTTGTGGAGCGTCGCGTACACTGTTAATCCACACGTGACTCCAGCTGCGCTCTCACAGAGAGAAAATGAAAACAAAACTGAACTGCAGCAAACTATAAAAGCAACACTTCACGCTTGTTTTGCCAACACAACGTGGCGTCTCTGTCGTCTAAACACTGTGACAGTAATGAATATTAATGAAGGTGCACAATAGAGCGCGCTGATTGGTTTGAACCAAGCTTTACTCATGCATTAATGCAGCACACTGTAAGACGTAATAAGACTCACTCTGGCACAGACGTCCAGTCTGCACGCTGGAATACACGCTATTATGTCATGATCGTGACGCAGCTTCAAAAATTAGTTTTAAACTGGAAGTACGAATTTGCTTGAAATAACGCAAAAACAACCAATTTACACTTTTTAGTGAAATATAGGTGTCCTAATAGTGTTTTTAGCAGTGTGGGACACATATACCACTGTCAACAGCTTAACACATGTGTTCTGGTGTTTCGTGACCCTTTAAGTGTGTGTTTCTGAAACATCTTCACGTGACGAATTGTGCTTCGCTGAATCAGTGGTGTGTCTGTAATTGGAGTTGATCACTAATTAGTCTGTAAATGTTTTGGTTTAAGAAAGAAATCCTGATCAGTAGTGAGGGTTTGTTCACTCTGAGGGGTTTATTTTAGTGCTAACTGCTGTGTATTTTCCATTAGCTAACTATATAAAAGCTGTGTAGGGAAGGAAATGTTCAGCCTTTCTATATAGCCAGTGTTTATCAGGACAGACAGCGATAGGTTGAGCAGATCACACACACACAATAAACCGTGAATCACGATTCCGGTGTGAAAACGTTCAATTAGAGGTTTTGTGCACAAATAATTTTGTGTGTGTGTGTGTGTGTGTGTGTGTGTGTGTGTGTGTGTGTGTGTGCCGCTTTCATTCTCTCAGAGTTATTCTGCAAGGACACGTCGCATTAATCAAAAGTGACTGTACGGATGTTTCTAATATCACAAAAGACTTCAAATAGACGCTGTTTAATATGCTGTGGAGCACTGGAAATATGTGGCTTCGGAAACATGTTCCTGTGTAACTCATGCAGCTGCGTTTCTCCATATTTGATAGAGTGGCTTTCACATTTGAATATTCCAAAACAGCACTTCACGTTTCCCTTGTGTTCCACGTTAGTGCTCTATGTTAGTTTTAAACTGCAGATGACACTTTAGGCTTGTGTTTAACAGCAGATGGCGCTCCAGGTTAGTTTTTAGCAGCAGACGATGCTCTAGGCTAACAGCAGATGAGGCTCTAGGCTAGTTTTTAACAGCAGATGATGCTCTAGGCTAGTTTTTAACAGCAGATGATGCTCTAGGCTAGTTTTTAACAGCAGATGGCGCTCTAGGCTAGTTTTTAACAGCAGATGGCACTCTAGGCTAGTTTTTGGCTGCAGACGATGCTCTAGGCTAGTTTTTAACAGCAGATTGCGCTCTTGGCTAGTTTTTAACAGCAGATGGCTCTCTAGGCTAGTTTTTAGCAGCAGACAATGCTCTAGGCTAACAACACATGGTACTCTAGGCTAGTTTTTAACAACAGATGGCGCTCTAGGCTGGTTTTAGCACCAGATGGCACTCTAGGCTAGTTTCTAACAGCAGAAAATTCACTGGGCTAGTTTTAAACAGCAAATGTTGCTCTTGGCTAGTTTTTAAAAGCAGATGGCGCTCTAGGCTAGTTTTTAGCTGCAGACAGTGCTCTAGGCTAGCTTGAAACAGCAAATGTTGCTCTAGGGTAGTTTTTAGCAGCAGACGGTGCTATAGGCTAACAGCAGATGGCACTCTAGGCTAGTTTTTAACAGCAGACAGCGCTCTATGCTTGTTTTATTCAGTGGATGGTGCTCTAGACAAATTTTTAACAGCATATGGTGCTCTAGGCTAGTTTTCAACAGCAGATGATGCTCTAGGCTAGTTTTTAACAGCAGATGGCACTCTAGGTTAGTTGTTAGCAGCAGACAATGCTCTAGGCTAACAACACATGGTACTCTAGGCTAGTTTTTAACAACAGATGGTGCTCTAGGCTAGTTTTAGCACCAGATGGCGCTCTAGGCTAGTTTTTAACAGCAGAGGGCGCTCCAGGCCAGTTTTAAACAGCAGAAATATCACTGGGCTAGTTTAAAACAGCAAATGTTGCTCCAGGGCTAGTTTTTAGCTGCAGACAGTGCTCTAGGCTAGCTTTAAACAGCAATTGTCGCTCTTGGGTAGTTTTAAGCAGCAGACGGTGCTCTAGGCTAACAGCAGATGGCACTCTAAGCTAGTTTTTAACAGCAGACGCCACTCTAGGCTAGTTTTTAACAGCAGACGGCACTCTTGGTTAGTTTTCAACTGCACATGGCGCCCTTGGCTAACAGCAGATGGCACTCTAGGCTAGTTTTTAACAGCAGACAGCGCTCTATGCTTGTTTTATACAGCGGATGGCGCTCCAGGCAAATTTTTAATAGCAGATGGTGCTCTAGGCTAGTTTTCAACAGCAGATGGTGCTCTAGGCTAGTTTTTATTAGCAGATGGTGCTCTGGGCTAGTTTTTGACAGTAGATGGTGCTTTAGGGTAACAGCAGATGGCACTTTGGGCTAGTTTTTAACAGCAGACGCCACTCTAGCCTAGCTTTTTAACAGCAGAAATCGATCTGCGCTAGTTTTAAAATGTGGCTGTTGCTCTATGCTAACAGCAGATGATGCTCTAGGCTAGTTTTTAACTGCAGACGGCACTCTAGGCTATTTTTTACAGCAGATGTCACTCTATGCTAGTTTTTAACAGCAGACGGTGCTCTAGGCTAGTTTTTAACTGCACATGGCGCTCTTGGCTGTTCTTTTGCATATTAGTTGTCTTAATATGGAATATGTAATGTTGTAAACATTTATTGTAAAAAAAAAGTGAATGTTCAATGTAAAACATTGATTTAGAAAACATTTTACATTGAAAAGCAATGTCCATTACCTGTCGACAAGGCTGAAGGGTGATTTTGGAATTTTAATACTTCTGTTAATCGATACTCTAAGAATGTTTGGATATCAGCTGATTAAAGGGCCAGAATTGCAGTCTTCAGTTAGCTACATAGTGCTCAATGTCACACTGATGTCAGTTTTTCTGACAGACCTCTCAAAAAGTCACGCTCTGTCTGTTCCCTGTGTTTCAGTAGCACATTCTCTTCGGGTGATGGAGGAGAGGTGTCATCCCGACTCATAAATTAGCGTTCACTGGAGGGCTGCACCATATTGGAAAAAATCTGACATTACGCTATTTGGATTTTCTGCAATATATTTTTTGCAATATATATATATATATATATATATATATATATATATATATATATATATATATATATATATATATATATATATATATATATATATATATATATATATATATATATATATATATATATATATATATATATATATATATATATATATATATATATATATATATATATATATATATATATATATATATATATATATATATATATATATATATATATATATATATATATATATATATATATATATATATATATATATATATATATATATATATATATAT